AGAGCTTTTGAGGCAGAAGCTCACGAGCGTGAGCAGCAAATGCTCTCCAGCAGCGACTCCGAGGACGACTCCGAGGATGAGGACAATGAGGACGATGAAGATGAAGAAGCTGAAGATTGGGACGATGAGACTATTGCGAAGGTCTTGCAAAAGCAAGAAGAACTCGGCCTAGGTGGCGACGAAGTGATGCTCTATGGTGGCGATGAATATTTTGGTGGATCGGGCCCATCTAAGAACTACTCATATGGCGGTTACGGCAGGTCCAACAAAAAGGGAAAGGGACGCGGCCGGGGCAAGAGAGAACCTACTTTCCCCTCCGCTTCTGCCATGGTCGCGGCCCTTGAAATGGATCCATATGGCGGCTTTGACATCATGGACACTGAGCGCCCATCGCTTAAACCCAAAAAGAAGGGTCGACGTGGTCAGCCACCGCCAGAATTGGAAGATTCAGATCTGAACGAGCAGTTGCAAAGCGCGTGGGCGAATGACAGGGCCAAGAAGCGTCTGAAGAAGGCCGAGCGCGAAGAGTTGCGTCAACAAGGCTTGTTAGGTCGCAAGGGCAAGGGCCCCAACCTCAAGGTCAAGTACCAGGGTGGCATCGATATGGAAGACATTGTCGAAGAGCTTCGTGAGTTCTTGCTAGGCGACATGCAGACTTTGTCTCTCCCACCCATGGAGGCTTATCGCCGCGCCACCGTCCACCAAGCTGCTTCATTCTTCAATCTGAACTCACGTTCTCGGGGCTCTGGTATGGACAGGTTCACCATCCTGTCCAAGACCAACCGTACCCGTACCTATACGGATGACGAATTCGATATCGCGATTGCGAAGAAGGGTTTCCAGAAACGCCTCAAAGGTCCTCTTTACTCAGAGGGTGGTGGTGGCGGCCGTCCGGGCAAGTATTCCACCGTCAAGCACAAGCAAGGTGGTGCGCGCACACGTCCTCAACTGGGCTACAAAGATGGCGAGACCGTCGGTGCGAATGCGCCAGAGCTCGGTCCTGAGAACAAGGGCCATGCCTTGATGATGAGAATGGGATGGTCCAACGGTGAAGCTCTGGGCGCTGGCGACAACAAGGGCATCCTAAAGCCTATTCCCCACACTGTCAAGACCAATAAGGCTGGTTTGCAGTGATTGCGCTGTTTGTATTACGACGTCGCTTAATGACGCTGCTTTTCCTGGACGTCTACGAGGTGGCGTTTTACGACGTCCTGCTCAACCACACTCACATGCGCAGCACTGGTTGCGTTTGATATGGCATGTAGTACCTTGTGTATATCCTTGTGTATATTAGTACTGGCGAACTCTGTGGCGTACGATGGGTTACCGATCATAGCACGTTCACACAGGGCGATGGCATTGCATTGCGTGGCAGACACCGGCGGCGTTGTTTAGATCTTCCATTGTCGCCTGCAGATCCACCGCGGCGGCGGCTCGTCATGCAGCTGTCGTTTGGAGCTCGCGATACTTTTTTTCTCAAGGCCGCTCAAGTATGTCTCTTCGACTCATGATCTTGTCGCGACATCGCTTGGGTAGGCATCAAAAACACATCAAAATCGTACAAAAAAAAATCCAACAAAATACTAGAAATTATGAGCTGAGCCGCGTAATGTGATGAACCCAGTGACTGTTACGTAGGTTGCTTTGGTGATGTATATGGCCGATGTAAGTACTGACAAAAACCTCCGGTTCTTGGTGTTCAATTTCTTCACGATAAAGCATGTCACCAAATCGATCGAAAAATCATAACACTGCACAACGCGTACTTTTTGCCTTTCCATAACGCGTCACAGTCTCTTTTCGACATCATGCCTCGTTGGGACGTGAGAAATCGCAGAAAAAACGCGCGCACATATGTTTATACGCGTGGTATGCATACGAGGTAACCATCTAGCCAGCTCGATGAACTTGACTACCTTGCAATGGAACCCCATCGATACAATGAAGCTGAAAGGTGGAATAAGCCATTGTCCGATTCTTTCTATGCAGCAAGGTAGAGGCCGATTGTCAAATCGTTTCTTATTGACTCAAGCTAAAACACCATTCTGGAGTCTACATCCAGACCTGACTGTCCAAACAACAAGGGTTTAATGCACCTCGGAGACTACATATACACCCTCGCACGTAGGTCATATTCCACCTGCCACCTAGTCTCCTACATTCTCCTGAAACTGGTCGCGATAGCTTGCTCAAACTGTTGCGTGGGAATAAAGTAGGCGCATTTGGATAATCGTTCGATGAGTCAAAGTTCCCACTGAAGGGCGTCAACCGACAGAAAGCCTCTAACAAGGCAAGCAGTCTGAGAGATCTATTCGTAAGATAATCGTGACAGAAAAGACACAGACACCATGTGTGTAAGTCCCCAAATGTTATGTACGGAACGCCGAACTAGCCATGCTCCCCTTCTTAACCAACAAAACGCGTGCCGAAGTTGTAAATGATGCCAAATGAGGGTGTCATGTTCCCCAAAGTGTCAAGATGTAATGGATATCGTAGTGAAGGTCCTATTGTACTGGTTCGTCCGGGTTCTGCAATCTCTTCCCAAGGTAAGTATGCGAAACAAGCGGATTCGATCAAAACGCGGCGTATTCCTCGTTTGGTGGCAGTTGATAGTTCTCTGCGTGCAGGCCCTTGAGCGCTTCCTCGCCGTCCTTGGTGAGGTCTGGCCTACCGACAGGTGTGACTGCGCCGGTGAAAAATCGTGGCTTCCACTCTTTCTCCGCCGCCTTTCGCTCTGCAGCCTTTTGCCGTTGCTTCTCTTCTATTTCTGTCTTGAGGTTCGTCGCCAGTCCATATTGCTTGCCTACTATGGCATTCGTGACGCCGTCCCAGAACTTGAGGGACTCGTTGGGAAGCTGCTGCTCGAGCGGTGGGACGATCTTGGCTACGGGGTCAAGCGGATTGAGGTCGATGATGAGGTTCTTCTCCTGCTTCATGTTAGGCTGTGATCCAGACCGCCGCTCAGTGTACTTACAGCGACCTTGGCAAATGGCTTGCTGCCAAGGGTATAGTAGACTTTGTCCTGCCAGTTGCCCTCTATCCGCGCGAGGACGTCCTTCTCCGCGACATCCTTGATCTTGGTAATCGAATCGTTGTTGGGGTCGTACTTGAAGATGACACCCAAGACCTTGTTTTGTGATCGGCCGAGCCAGCCTTCCTCCTGGTATTCTAGGATGACCTTCAGTCCGGTCTTTGGGCAGGTAACGAAGCAGCTGTCCGCGACAGAGACATTGAGGGAGCCTGTAGAAAAGGTCAGCACCGTTACGGTACTTATATGCTCTCATAGCCTACCTCGCAGAATACCCCCAAGGTAGGCGGCTGGGTGAGTGAGTTGGTACTCCTCATTGCCTCGGTTCTTCAGGGTGATGAAGATACCCAGGTTGTGCGCTCCAGCCACCACTCGTACACTTGTACCTGTGAACTTGGCGCTCAGTTGATCATAACCGCGCGCACTGATGCCCTTCTCGGGACAGTCGACATAGAAGGCGGAGACGGGAGGGTGGTGGGAGGTTTGCTCGGTGAGGTAGGAGACGGTCACGGTCTTGCCATCGCCTTTGACGCTGTTGGAGGCGCTCGAGGGAGCCGAGTTGGGGGTCTTGAGGGTGGGGTGGGTGTCCTCGATCTTCCAGTTGCACTGCGAGAGTCAGTAACCAGCTCGTGTAATTTCCGACGGAAGCGTACCCTGAAGAACTCGCCCAAAGTAGAGTTGTAGGGCTTGCAAGGCTTGCCCTTGACGTATTTCTGTTCCAGCATTAGCTATGCCTTCCTCGCCGGAGCGTGCCTCATACCAGGTCCTTGGTAAACCAGAAGCGCAAGCACCCCAGCATGCGCCCCAGATCATCATCCGAATCTCCGATACTGTGGAGGTCAGTAACCACTTCTGCAGTGTGCATCTGGCTTATGCTAACCTGATGAATGTGTCGGGCCTGTCCAAGTAGTGCCAGTACTCTGCTCCCTGTCAGATGATAGTCCGGCTACAGCGACTTGCGAGGCTAGCCATCGCAGTTCTATATTCATACAACGTACCCAGGTTTGGCCTTGGTTCGAGGAGTTGTGCGGGGAGGGAGAAGCGGACAGCAGCGAGGTCGGAGACGCCAATAAACCTGGAGAAGGACAGAGTTAGCTTTCGCGCGTCTGCTGTGACCGGATGGTGCTACGTTACCTCCTCAAAATGCCCAGGAAGGTCTTGAACTTGGAGCTGTCATCCGGAGCCTTCTCCACGGCAGCGCTTGACGGTGTGGCAGCCCGCGAATTGTCCCGCGAGTTGAGGGCGGACGTGGTTGCAGAGCCCGGTTGGGCCTTCTCTGGCGCAAGGTCCGCCATGGTTGCTGGGATATGGGTTTTACTCAAGAGAGTAATAGCAAGTGGAGATAGGAGCGCGAAGCTATATCTAGGTAACGATCGATGATGTCGTCAGGTGTTGAGGCGGTGCGCTTTTCGGGTTCCCTTGGCACGCGCCGGAGCTCTGACGTAGCGCAGCCGATAGCCTCTAACCTGGTCGCAGCGGGGTAGTGGAGAGAGAAGGGGGAGCAGTAGCAGATGGAAAACAGCATGCACATGCAAGTTGGATGGTTATCTTCAAGTTGTAGGGGCTGCTGTTCTTCTGCTTAGCGTGCCGTTATCGTACCTCTAATCGCGTCTGCTGCAAGGTCGAAACGCGCAATAGGGACATGCATAACAGATCGTGCATCGCTTGATTGGGTGCAGTCTCGCCACCCGACTCTCCCCCCTACCAGGTTTCACAACTACAAATAGCCCACTTCACACACGTGGAACCGCATGAGATGTGTAAGAGAACTCATGATCTATTTTGCTGAGACGCAGATTCATCAACTCAAGCGTGATGGTGCAGCCTGATGTTCTCGCTTCCAATAAATGCACACAACGACGCCAAAGCTCCAGTCGTGCAGGCTAATGCGTGATCGATTTGATCGACAGTGCAAATGACCGTCGGCCACCCCTAAACGCCGTCCATCGTACCCTGCGCTATCGTAAAGTCATCAATCATCCCATTCCCGCCATACGCCAATCTCGCAGGCCTTGGGCGTGTCGGTGTAGATTTCCACATCGTACCATTCCTCTACCGGTCCCCCAGAGCCTGACAGCCTATCAAGAACGAGCCATAGTTCGCCTTGCATCCCGAGCTTCGGATCGATGTTGACGCTCTCGGACCGAACCGTAGCAGTGTCAGAGTACTCTCCTTGCTCACTTGCGATGATGAACTTGCGCTCCGGGCCTCGACCCATCTCGACACTCAATCGGAACGGACTGCGCGCTAGCTTGCCCAAATCGACAGCGCGAGGGCTCGTTGCTTTCGAGAATCTGGCGATGATGGTATACGAAGCTAAGCGCCTAGGCCACAATGGGGCAGCAACCTTATGTATGCTGGCACCAAAGCACGCCGGAGCGAGCTTCATCGAGAGCAATCCCGCCCCGTCGCGCGGCACTTGCTTCAACACCACCTCGCTTGTGCTGTCAACTCCGAGTTGGTAGTCACCAGTCAGACCAGCTTCAAACAAGGAGCAAATGATTGTGTAGGAGCCTGGTTGAAGGTCTTTGATCTCTGCGAGGACACATCCACTGCGATGGTCACCCGAGTCTGCTAGCACATCGCGACTCTGCAAGCGATATAACCTCTTTCCGTATCCTAGAGCAAGTTTGACGTGTAGGGGATGTTCATGGTTCGTGCTGGTGAGTAAGATGGCCAGCGAGCTACGCTCGCGGACAGTGAGCGAATACTGAGGATTGTCGAAATATTTCGATGAGTCTGTACCACCACCGGCCGTCTGCCTGGTCCATGCACCTTCCTCAGTCTTCTGCAACGGGTACCGCTGCGCCGCCTGTTCCAGCGTAATCGGAAAGTTCGCAAACGCAGACAAGGAGAAAGTGTACAGTGATGGAGGTAAGTCATCTTGATCGATCACCACTGTGTATGTCGAGTTGGCATCCGCGTCACTGCGAAGAAGACATTGCGGTGTAGTAACGTAGTCGCTCGATTCCAGGTATGTGTCCTTCATGTATAGGCGTTCTCCCTGGCCGTTGCAAACGTATATGCTCATGTATCCCTTCGGTGCATCCCCTTGGGTGTTGACTTGAGTGTCGGGACGAATGCTTCCGTCGTTGAACGCATCTGACTCCTCTTTGGTGACTGCTGGTACGTCCCGGAAATGGCGACTAAGAAGAAACCATACAGGTCCAGCACCTTTGGACGTAAAGGCGAATTGTGGATGCTTGACAATGCAACCGCCTGGCGACGATGACTCTATGTTCCACTCGAAATGAATGTCTTGTCGATAGCGGAAAAGACCAGGGTTCCAATTCAGATACAGGCTCTCGAAGTGTTGTATGACCTGCTCCAATCCAATCCAGAATGTCGTCGGATGCGGCCGATCCTGAGTGGGGACACTATCCCTGTGATAACTCTCAAGGCTGTAATTAGAACCACGACTGGAGGTAGACGCAGGCGGATCCATGGCCGTCACAGCCGAAGGGCGAGGACCGCGCCAGCCTTTGCCTTCGACCCATGGATTCTTGATAAGCAACAGACGATCATGCTCCGTCTCCCTCATGTCCAGCACGACGTAACTGTGTTGGCCCTCGAGACCAAGTTCACGCTCCTGCCTGGTCGACATCTTGCCAGTACCTGCTGTGACCAGAACATCGCCGTACAGGAAGGCGTTGTGTATGCGCTTCCATATCTGATCTGGAACCGTATCGGCCCTATAAGAGTTAGTATGGTCAGCTATGGGATTAGAGAAGAAACAACTTACTCTTGCAAGAAGACCTGTTCTGGTATCCAGCCCGTCAAGGTCCAGAGATCACTGCACGAGTTGCTTCCAGGGAAATCGTAACCGCCGCGAACTTTCAGGTATGCTTTCTCAAGTAGTGCTGGCCATAAGAGGGCTGGATTACGGCGGTCGAAGACATGAAGCAGACGATGTGTCTTTGAGACTGGTAGTCGATCATCGATAACCACCTTTCTCCAACAGCCGTTGAAGTTGAGTCGTACGATGTACTTGCCATTAGATGAGGTTAACGGCTTTCCAAGGTGCTTGTCATATGGATATATCTTGTTCGTGAGCATCTGCCACATTTAGTACCGAGACTGCAGAATTTCTGGGAATGGCAAACCTGATCGTGACCGCGTTCTGAGCGAGCAATACCAGCGCATAAGCTTGTGACCACCGAGCAATCTGAAGCTGCATCCTGTACAAGATCGAGAGGCCTCGTGCTAGACATCAAGGGCCCGATACCAGCCCTACCGTTAGGGAACTGCGAGGGTGGCGGCACAGCTTCTTTGGCACGCAGCCAACCGAGAAAGAACTGCTGTTGGTATGAAGACAGACTCAGATCTCGCGTATCCCTGTCGCTGTCAGTATGTCTGAACAACCCCAGTATGACCATCAGGCAACGTACGTGTAGGCAGCCTCGCCTTCCGACACGAATTCATCCGCAGATGGAGTCTTGTCCCAAGGTGGAAACTTGAAGCCATTAACTGTCGAGGCTTTCAACAAGATGATGCTTTCTTTTGTGGGTAGTTTCCTGCTTGAAATCGGCTCTCGTAGCCTGTGTATCTGAGAATGAGGTGCGGTTGAGGGGGTTAGAGCTGCTGTTTGCGACCCGGGTACTCCAGACTGGGACTCTGCGCTAGAGGGCTGTGGCACTGTAGATGACTTCAATACGAAATCGTGTCCATTTTTCGGATGGTGATCACGGTCAATGTTGGCGTTTGAGCTATCTTCGTGTGACGCATCAGTGACTGCACTTGGTACATCGATTGGAAAGGCGTCATCCGAAAGATCAATGAGCGGCATTAGATCTCGGCGCGCATCTTGCTGGAAAGAAGGGACGGCAGAAGAGAGATCTGACTGATGAATGAATGCTGAGAACGAAGAAGCTGATGATTTACCTGAAGCTGCTGGACCGTCGATAGGTCCTGTAGTCGAAGAAAGAGCCCAACGGGACGTGTTTGAACGCGTAGTCGAGTCTCCAAAAGTTGTACCGGGAGTCGCAGTCCCGGCGACCTCTTTGGCCCATTGACCTACTCGCTCATCTCTGGAGCTGGAGGACTGGGATTTGACTAGAGGTGTCCATGTTTCATCGGCCTTGATGCGATCGGCACGAGTCAACATCTCGCTGCATTGCGCCTTGAGCTCCTTCCTTTCGTCTGAGTTTGACGATAGTTGGATCGCTTCCATGAGGTTCTCGGCCACGCTAATTGCGAGACTGAATGCTTCATCCTTGGTAGCGGCTTTGTCAACCCGCGAGCGATAGTCCTGGTAGCTTGATTAGTCGGAGCTACAACGCGGGACTTGATGTTGCAGCGAGAAGTTAGTTGTCTGTATCACATACGCTTGCGGCCGCCTTGTAAGCCTCAATCTCGGTGGCCCGGTCAGCCATCGTAAATGGCTTGAGACAGGACACGGTAAGAGAAATTTGACCAATACTAGCAGCGATGACGAAGCTACTTGCGTTGTGCCATAGCGATGCGACTGACTATGGGTGAGTGGAGTCAAAGGCGCACTAAGAAGCTGTGATGGTGCTTTGGTGTTGTGATGTTGTGATCTGGGGCGGACTCTTAGCGCGACGCACGTTCCTGCCAAACGGCCGTCGCGACTGCCAGTTGCAGCAGGAACAGCCAGTTTCAGCGCATAAGTGACGAATCTAGACGTCTCCTTCCACGTGAGAGGCATATTCAGCCAGGCACGGCTTGCTCACTTTCACCGAAGTGATCGACAGCGGCTGCGGTGAAGGAAGGTCCAAGGGAGCAGGGTGTGTCGTCATCCGAACCTGAACCTCGGCCTCTAGGACCTCGGGAGAGGTCAGCCATGCATGCGACAGCGCTATCGCGTTGCGGGCACCATGAACGTCCCCTGCCCGCTTTTTCTAACTTCCGATGCTGCTATCTCCAATCTTCAGATTATTGCTGTCATGATGAGATAGTCCGAATTAATCGCTGATTCCACACCATACCCTCCTCCGCCCGTCACACACTTCGCAGTCGCAACACTTCGCCAAGCCTTAGCAACTGTACTCGACCACCACCATGGCCGGTCAGTCAAAGGTAGAAACTCTGCCACCATGGGGTAATGCTGTCGCGGGCGCCGCTGGTGCCGTCATCGCAAACACCCTTGTCTATCCCCTAGATTTGTACGTCGCAAATACCCCGAGCCTTCTTGGGCAGCAGGAAAAGATACTAACACGATCTCAGGATCAAGACGCGACTACAGGTCCAGGTTAAGCGCTCGCCTACGTCCAACGACCCCAAACCCGCCGACCACGAACACTACGATGGCGCCATCGACGCGTTACAGAAGGTCTTTGCGCAGGAGGGTCTTTCTGGACTATACGCCGGCATAGGAGGCTCTCTGCTCGGCGTAGCATCGACCAACTTCGCCTATTTCTACTGGTATACCGTTGTACGCAGCCTCTACATGGCGAACCGCACGCTTCAAACGTCACCGAGCACGCCGGTCGAACTCTCCCTTGGAGCGCTTGCGGGAGCGCTCGCCCAGCTTTTCACAATCCCGGTCGCAGTCGTAACGACGAGGCAACAGACCATGAGTAAGGCGGAGCGCAAGGGCATGATCGCTACGGCTATGGACGTGGTCAACGGCGATGACGGCTGGACGGGGCTTTGGCGAGGACTTAGGGCGAGTCTGGTGCTCGTCATCAACCCATCAATCACATACGGAGCGTACCAGCGATTACGGGAAGTCATGTACCCAGGAAAGAAGACGCTGAAGCCTCTCGAGGCGTTCCGTAAGTCATGGCCACTACCCTAAGTCAAGGAAAGCTACTAACATCTGCCAGTCATCGGAGCCATGTCCAAGACGCTTGCCACAATTGCAACCCAGCCTCTCATCGTTGCGAAAGTCGGTCTTCAATCGAAACCTCCACCAGCCAGGAACGGAAAGCCTTTCAAGTCCTTCACCGAAGTTATGCAGTACATCATACAACACGAAGGCCCGGCGGCGCTATTTAAGGGCATTGGACCCCAGATTCTCAAGGGTCTGCTCGTCCAGGGTTTCCTCATGATGACCAAGGAGCGCATCGAGCTCTCCTTCATCTTGCTCTTCCGATACTTCCGCCAAGTACGCGCCGAGAAGCTACAGAAGCTGGCGAACATTGCGGCAGAAAAGGCCGGTAAGGCAGCGCCGATACTGGCCAAATAGGCCTTGGCTTGCTGGCATATCCTTACCTTCATCTCAAGTGTATATATTCGACTTTATACTTGGTTACGGAGGCGGACTGGCCGAGCGTTGTGTTGATTTCAATCTGGCGTTTGGCATTGATTGTTACTGCGGTTATACACATAGTCTGTCTTGTAAGCATTCTTGAATTTCTACCATTGTGTACACTGTGCTGGTGATGTGTCATGACCATAGTCGCGGCCACGCTAGCGGAGGTGCCGTGCGGAGGCTGTGAAGAGATCCGAGCAACAATGTCCATTCACGCAAAGAAAACCTTAACTAGAACGCCACGCTAATCCTCCGCTAATGTGCCACTATATCACACCGGTCTTCATTCTAGCGCTTCTCACTTCTCAGGTCCATCAACAATTAGGCACACTGATCACGTACATTTGACTCACAACCCATTGATATCGCCATAGCTCTAACACTTTACACCTACCACACACTGCAAACCATCTACAACCCCATAGTAAATACAGATGTGCTACCTCCGACCTACCAAGTACGCATGCGGCCATGTTTCTCCCATCCACAAACCAGGCCGCCAACGCCCAAGTGCCAAAGAGGATGCTAATCAATCAGACCCATACGCTGAGGTAAGATCTGAGGCATACGAAATGCATACAAGACATACACTGACTTCGAAATAGTGGCCAACACATGAGGACACTACGTTGAATGGGTGCCAGGATTCTAATCGTAGAGGTGCGCGATGCCCGGACCTTTTGGAGAACTTGGAGGTGGTATATCAAGAGGAGGAGGGCGGCGAGTGTGATGAGTGTAAGGCGAAGAGAAAGTGCACAGTCTTGTAGGGGAAGATGGAGTGAGACGATTGAGGGTAGTGAAAAAGCTATTAATTACATTGATATAAAGGTAGGGGTAGCCACGCGCATCGTAGTGTTATGTAATCTACAAGTATCTCTGTGCGGGTTGATAGGTATCTACCAAGGGGCTGCCGAGTAATGACATACCTAAGTATGCCGGTGTACGCGACGGCACGTAAGCTATAAGTACATCCTAGTGGCTCCTTCCCACAAGTCCAGGTCGTAAGCCTCTTGCATGATAGCCCTGTATCTCCTTCTCTCTTTCACCTGATATTTGTTAGAGGTATCTAAACTGTAGGGAGGAAGTCCAATCACCCTGTAATCAAGAGCTTCGCGGCTCTCGTCCCCATAACTAGGAGGATCGAAGCTTTCGTCGCAAATGTTGGCTTGCCGAGGGAAAGTGAACGGCGTGGGGAACCCTTCATCATCGTATGTCTGCCACGTTTCGTAGTCATCCCGGGCAGAGTGGACGGTCTCAAGAACTCCTTCGCTTCCACGTGTGGGGTGCCATGGAGTGACGCAGCCAGTTTGTACTATGGTCAACTTTTCGAGTGCAGAGCAATGTTCGAAGAACTTCATAGCGACAAAGTGTTGCTTTTCGTCAAGCTCATGTTCCCACGCCATCTCTGCAAAGATGCTGCCACATCCTGACCCGTCGTCAGAAAATTGGTCTTCCAGATCTGCGTCAGTGATTTGTTGTGTGGCAGTAATAGCGACATCGGTCAGCTTTGAGAATAAGCCGAACGTTTTAGCAAAGGTCTGTAGCCCAGTAAGTATCGAAATGTACGAAGAGGAACGGTGCCTGTCGCGCTCGCGCTTACACTGAGTTTTTCTTGGCCGAGGCTGCCTCGTAAGGCTAGACTCTCGATCTCCGGCAAAAACTGGTGCAGGCGTTGCACATCCTTCTTGCGCCACGTGTCGCGGCAGATTTCGAAATGCTTCAGGTTCTTTGAAGCCCCGGCCGCAAGCATCAGATCATCGTGGTCGAGGTTGTACTCTAGAGCTAGTATTTCGACATTGGGACAAGCCTCCACGAGGAAAGCCCAACTGCCATGTGACAGAATACGCAGACGAACAATGCTAGAGAGTAGAAGTGGGTCTCGTTGGAACGTGGCTTTGAGACCGGATATGTCGACATCCTTTCGATGCGTGATAGACAACTCGGCGAGAGAATGCATCTTGGCAAGTGTTCTGGGAAGACGAGTCCTGCAGAATGTGTTCTTGCGTTCTGACGTCGCGACGATGTCACAGGTCCTTCGTGCTTCACATTAGTATACTGGTTGAAAATGTACTTGCAGTCCGCACTGCTCAGTTCCGTACGTACTTGATAGCCGGTAGAACCAGGGGGAGTGATGGGATAAGCGGGTTGCCCTCTATGTCTCTCAATCGCCGATTGAGATCTCCCAACGAGGACGCATAACGGAAAACGTGCGTGAACAAAATGGGCATAGCAATTGCCCGCATCCTCTTACTCACGAGCGATA